GTTCACTATTACGCATGAATGTACCGCGTTTGTTAATGCGGCATTTTCATGAAGAAGCTTCGACCGCTGGCCAGCGCCCAGTTGAGGCTTCCACCTTGCCTGTTTCTGATAAGCCAGTCACGCTCAGTTTTCGTGGTGGACTGTCTGGAAAGCAGGGTCCAATCGCGGGTTCAATGACCGTTCCGCCTGCTAAGAAACCTGCAGTGCTTCCTACTGCGTTTCAGATGTCCGAAGATGCATTTCCTGAAGAAGAGGTCGATGACGAGCAACAAAACAATACTTCTGAGGATCCTAAAGGTACGCTCTATCCCAGACGAATTAAGTGTGGCATCGGAGACAGTGCTCATGTCTGCTGTATAGTTTCTGCGTCAAAGAAAGTGGCGCCGCTCATTGCCAGTAAAAAGGTATGGATATGAAGTTTTTTGGTTATGGAGCTCTTTCATTAGTTCGTGCTTTCAGGTCGTCAGCAACATTAACAAATGGAATCAAGTCCAGGAGGTCCTTAGTCATGATGTAGAACGCCCGGCGCCCGCCGAAACACCTACGGTACGCTGATCTTGTTTAGCAATTGGTATAGTCTCGCTCAACGAAAGCCTGTCAGGCATTGCCTGTGGAGAGCGCTGTGAAGGCCAAGTCAGCAACCCCCGCGCCAGCGGACGACGACGTCGATTTTTCAGACTCGAAAGCAATGACGTGTCTACTATGCGCAAGGCAATTTAAATCACAAGAACAATTGAAACGTCATACCAACGAGTCTGATTTGCACAAGGCAAGCTGTAATCATATTATTTAGCATACGTTATGTTGACACAGCGAAAAGAGGAATCTCAAGGATGTCAATTTGCGGGAGATTGCTCGGGAAAAGGCTGCTGCTGCACGTAAGAAGGCGGATCAGCCTAGATATCGTGATCGTGCATCCGAGCGGCGTGTTATGCATAACCAGCCCGACGCGCCCCTACCGACGGAGTTGAGCAAGTCTACAGGCAAGAGAAAGCAAGCAGAGGGGCCACCGCGCCCTCCTACGCCTCCTCCCCCTCCTGTCAACCCTGGTCAGGATGAGAACAATGTGGGGAATAAGTTATTAAAAATGATGGGCTGGAAAGAAGGTACGGGCCTTGGCACTGACGGCGAAGGCAGAGTTGACCCTGTGTAAGTCTCATCTCATCTGCCGGCAGCTCCATGTGGCTGATTTGATTATCGCAAAGCCAAACTGCCATTTATGCCCAAGGCGTGGGATTGGGTGCAAGCAAGGGGAAAGAAGTAGGCAAGTATGCAGAGGGCTACTCTGGATATGTTCATATGGCACAGGATGCAGTACGTGTCAAAGTTTCGGCTTGAGATCCGTCATGTGTTCTAACACTGTTCCCTAGGCTAGGGAGCGCTATGGTAGTTGAATATAACAGTGCTCAGTCTCACACTGCATGTTTTTATTTCTGTCGGTGTGTACTTTAGGTAAAACATATTGCTGCATCTCCCTTGTGTATGGATCTCGAGCTTTGATGTCTTGTGATGACAATTCAATGCCTTAAGCGCCGATGATGCAAGACGAGATAGAAGGAAGTTGCTGAATATTCCGATAGTTCTCAGGCTATCGCTTAAGTAGTCCGGAGGAGCGGGGAGCCTACTCACACTCCTTATCGTTCCTCAGGTTGATTCGCCTCTCAAAAATGCCCTCCACATACACCCTCCATTTCGATACGCCGGCATTCAAGGGGGATGTTACCATACCTCTTGGACTCTACATTAATGGCGAATTTATTGATCCTGTTGAAGGTGGAACTATCGAGTGGGCTGTCTCCCCTTCTTCCGTCTTGTCCTGCTAACTCGCTGCAGAGTTGTGAATCCTGGTGTGTACTCCTCGATTTGTGCATCATAAGGAACGATTCTACGTATCTCTAGCAACCGGCAGAGCCATTACCTCTGTCGCGGCGGGCACAAAGGCCGACATTGACATCGCTGTGCGTGCAGCCAAGGCCGCATACAAAACATCATGGGGTTTGGAAGTTTCTGGAGTGCAGCGAGGCAAACTCATGAGCAAGCTCGCGGTACTTATGGGGGAGCACATCGAGCAATTTGCTGCGCTCGACGCTCTGGCGAACGGCAAGCCATACTTGACTGCGTACAACCGCGACAATAAGGGTGCCATAGCCGTCATGGAGTACTACGCAGGCTGGGCGGATAAGATTACTGGGAAGACGATCGAAGTACGCCAATTTACATGAAGTGCGATTATAGTCATGTCAACTCAATATTTCGATTCCCTTGTAGACGAACAAAAACAAGCTTGCATACACTCGCCATGAGCCTATCGGTGTTGTGGTACGTCGCTCAGTAACGTATTCTGGATCGCTTGGTGACCCGTAGCTTTGTTTGAGTAGGGTCAAATCATCCCTTGGAATGTCCCAAGTACGATGTTCGACCTATTAGTGACTTTCAGCGACGATTAACCTCTCTTAGTGTTCTCTCTCTCACTAAAGATCGCCCCAGCGCTCGCTACCGGTAACACAGTCATCCTTAAGCCTTCCGAGCTTACGCCGCTCTCCGCTCTCCTCTTCTGCACCCTCATCAAGGAAGCTGGATTCCCCCCGGGTGTCATCAACATCGTCAACGGTTATGGTGCCACTGCCGGTCAAGCCATTAGCGAACACCCACACATCGGCAAGGTTGCGTTTACAGGAAGTACCCTCACAGGTCGGAAAATCATGGAGGCTGCTGCGAAGAGCAACCTCAAGCCTGTTACGCTTGAGCTGGGCGGCAAGAGTCCCAATATCATCTTTGATGATGCGGATTTGGAGCAGGCTGTGAAATGGGCGATTCACGGAATCTAGTATGCATTGATTGTTGTTTGATTCTCATTTTCCTGCCGGTCCTATACGGGGCATTAACTAATGCAAACCACAGCTTCAATCATGGACAGAACTGCTCGGCTGGTTCACGAATTTTCATACAAGAGGGCATTTACGACAAGTTTCTTGAGCAATTCACGCAGGCAGCGCTCGCTATCAAGGTTGGTGATCCGTTCGACGAGTCGACATACCAAGGTCCGCAAGTGTCCAAGACTCAGTTTGAGGTGAATGTCACTCACTCCTCCAAGTCCCACACTTCGCTGACTAGTTCGCGTGTGAATACAGCGTATCATGGGCTACATCACTTCAGGCAAGCAGGATGGAGCGACGGTACACATTGGCGGCGAGCGGATTGGCACAGAAGGCTATTTTATACACCCAACCATCTTTACCGAGTGCAAACCTGAGATGAAGATCGTCCGCGAGGAGATCTTTGGGCCTGTTGCCTGTGTAATGAAGTTCCGCACCGAGGAGGGTAGGTGTCTATCCAAGTATTTGTTATATGAGATGTACTGTGTTTTGTTGCTGATAACTGTTTGCAACAGAGGCTCTGGAACAAGCGAATGACACAACTTACGGACTGGCCGCGTCCGTATTCACAAAAGACATTGACCGTGCAGTACGTGTTGCACACGCGCTTGAAGCAGGCACCGCTTGGGTAAGCTTCTCGCCTATCGAGTCGTGATACACTGTCGTTGACCCATGTTTTCGTCGTAGATCAACTGCGCAAATCAGACGGAGATTGCTCTTCCCTTCGGCGGCTTTAAACAGTCGGGCATTGGCCGCGAATTGAGTGAGTACGCGCTTGAGAAGTAAGTTCTCATCTCGGACGTTGAAGATTGAGTACAAAATTGACTTGCCTTTGCAGCTATACAAATGTCAAGGCCGTGCATGTCAATATTGGCCTCAAGTTGTGAGGGGAAATGGGGATGAGACGAACTTGTTTCCAGCGTAAAGGATACTGGACTCTTTTGTTTAGCAAAATGTATATTAGTATCTCTTGACTGTTTCATTGCCTGAGGATGACTTTGACAATTACACTGAACACCTCTACTCTTGGATTTGACTTGGAAGTTGTTTGCGGGCGCTAACTGATGAGATCACGGGATCGGGCTGTTATTGATGGTGATAGTTACATATAGTTACATGCGAGTTGACCTCTGCAAGCCCTTACATTCACTGCCTCGCTCATTGCTTCAATCGTCTCTCGTCGACTGCGGCAGCCTGCTCTGTTTGCCAGCATGGAGACATTCTTCGGCAAGAAGAAGAGTCGTCCTCGCCAGTCGTCTCTTTCTATTCAGGATCAGGATCGCTCTTTACGCCCGCTTTCCTATGCTTCCACCGCCACCGCCCGCTCGGACAACAGTCGTACATCGCGCCTCGGACCTCCATTATCTCCCGGCTCTTCCCTGTCCCCTCTTGATAGTCATCATTCTCATCTCTCCACTATTTCCCAGCAGCTTCATCATCTTGCATCTCCAAACGAATTCTTCTTTCCTAGGCCAGACAATGACGAAGAAATTGAGGCTATGTTCCAGAACATTGTGCGAATGCGTGACTTGGGAGATATGCCCAATATACCCATCGAACAGAAGTGGCACATGGTGTACAATGACGAACAGATTCGGTGGAAGGAGGAGCGGCAACGAGAGGAACAAGCAAAGAGGCAGGCAGATTCTGGCCAGGTTGCGCCCATCGTGGATGGCACGCCGGAGTGGTATATCCAGAAGTTTCTTGACAAGACCATAACCCCTAAGCAGGCCTCGAGCCTGCAGGTCTCTTTGCGAAGTAATCAACTGATGTAAGTCGCTGATATGGAAGACATGTAAGTCACGTTCTAATATTATCCTTAGCTGGTTTAAACAATTCGTGTCTATTCAAGGTACGTCTGTGCTGGCGCAGACCCTCTTGCATATAAGCCGCAAAGGCTCTCAAAGGTTGTGAACTCATTTATCGCCGGTGCCGTGAGGCTTATTTTGTCACTTCTAGGCGGAAGGACGATCTGGATCTTGAGTACGAAATAGCAAAATGCGTCAAGCAAATTTTGAACAAGATGGTACAATTGTTGTACAGGTGTATATTCGCTACTCACGCGTTATTTTAGCTAAACTCTCAAGAAGTCCTCAACCACAATGCTTTTGTATCACAAGTCGCTTCATCTCTAAATACTCCCCATATACCCACACGAAAGATCATATTGGATGTGCTCGCTTTCCTTGCTTTCTACACAGACGCACAGGCCCACCCACTCGTTGTGTCCGCACTAGAGACTCTCAGTGTAGCGAATAAAGAGGAGAAAACCCCTTATGCATTCTGGTTCAAGAGCATGACGACCTCTCTTTCCGGCCGAGGACGAATGGGTACTTTGGTCGGGGCGAGCGAAGAAGTCAAGAAACATGGTGGTATAGAAAGCTCCCTCAATGATTACACAGTGAGTCTGCAACTAGTGCACCTCCAAATTTGTTTCTAATTCATGTGCCAGTCTTCAAATTTGCTGCTCATCCGTGGTATCTTGGAGGGATATGATGATCTGGACCTTCGGCTCCATCAGCGCTCTCAGATGGAAGTTTCGGGACTACGACAGATCCTGGACATATGTAGTACATTTGGAGTGCCTACCATTGACGCAGAAATCGACCGCATTCACCAAATCCTTGACGAAGACGAGAGGAAGCTGAAAGAGCGGGTTGACGCGGAAATACTTCGCGATATGACAAATCCGGAAGATGTCTACCGAGCCCTCACAGTAAAAACACAAGATACGAAGGCTCGAGACTACTTCCTCTCGATGATGCAACATTTGTTGTTGATTAGAGAGGAGGGTCCTGCTTTGGTACAATATTATCGACTCCTTGACGATCTCGTCAGTGACGTCGTTCTGGACAAGAAGGTAGGAGCGGAGCAGCGACTCGGCCAATCTGTTGCGAGGATCATCGCCCAGTTCAACGAGGCCGACAGATACCAGTATATTGAAGACGAACTTGCTAAAGCCAATGCCGCGGCTCTGCGATTTCGCCTGGAGAAAGAGGCTCTCGAGGACGAGGTTGCGCAGGGAAGTGATGGTCTTGTGGGAATCCTCAAGGCTAAGGTGATCCACCTAGAAGAGAAGCTCCAGGTTTCGCGTGATAACACATCTAGGCTGCAAGGACAGCTGGAGACGCAAAAGGCTGGTTATGAGGAGCAGATCGCTCAGCTGGAGGCGCAAATCATGGAGCTGTTTAGGATGCTCAAAGAAGTTGGTAAGGGTGTCAACAAGATATTCGACAATGCTGGAGCGATGGACCGCAAGACGTTGATTGAGACGCTGGAGAAGCATTTCCAGAGGGACAAGACTATCAGCATACTTGAGGGTCGAAATCATCGTTCTCGCCGACAAGCTAATGATGGAACTGCGGATAACGAGGGGACGACGGACGACGAGGAAGGGACGCCCAAGAAGGCCGGCAGTCTTAGGCGTCGGCCATCGTCCTCTTCCAGGAGCAAGTCGAAGCTTGCAAAGGCTTCCCGCGGCTCAGAAGCTCCTAACGGACGCACCTCTCAATTTATGGACGCGGATGATGCTATTGTGCAAGAACAGATTCAACAACAGCTCGCCGAGGGTGTGATGGTGAGTTGGTTCGATGGCCGCTTTTATCGGGTCGCTGCTGACACGAACTTACCGTCAAGCTTCCCCGCCGTTTGTCGTCCAGTCCACGGAGTATCAGAGGTTCTCCGCGTCGTAAGGATTTCTCGCGGCCTGCGTTAGGAGATTTTGCCAGTCCTCCATCCAAATTGGGTACGATTGTAGATTTTGGTACAGAGGACCCAGCAAGCGAACGGAGTGTGTCAAGAGGTAACGATAACGCTGATGAGCAGGACCTCGACAGCGAATACGGACAATCGTCCTCCATCAAAAGTGGTTCTTCTACTCTGGTCGATCAGCCGTCTAGTTCGGCTACATCTATGGATATGGGTCAATCGTCTGCTGGTATTTCGTTCTCAGAGCAGATTCGAAGACGGGCTGCTAAGGTTCGGCCTACATCTGATTCTAGCTCTCATGCTTCACCCACGCTGCCATCGTTACCTGAGGAGGCGGACGGGCAGCCATCGTCAAAACGTTCGCTTTCGCCCTCGCTGGACGAGAGACATCCAGAGCTCCCACCAGCGTCGTCTTCGTCTCCACCCGCCGCATCCCCGCCACGACCTCCACCACCTCCCCCG